GAAAAAAAAAAAAAAAAAAAAAAAAAAAAAAAAAAAAAAAAAAAAAAATTTCCTTGGGCAATACTACCAGAGTTAATGGCATTGCATACAAAATTTGGTAAACATAGCTAATGATTATGTAGTATTTACATATGCTAAGCACTGTTCTCAGCACTTTAATTAAATTTGTTAATCCTCACAGTGACCATATAAGATAGAAACTATTATTATACTCATTCTCAGATGAGGAAATTGAGGCTCAGGGCCACATGCCTAGCAGGAGACAGAGCCAGGCTTCAAGCCAAACAGTCTGGCTCCAGAGTCCATGGTTTTAATCACTGTGCTATGTTGTATCTTTCCTTGGCATCATCAGGTTTGCAAAAGAAATTAAATTCCTAGTACGTTTGACTCAATAATAATCCTATTATTACCTGTAGTGTCTCAGAGAAAAATCAGGCTAATATTCTTTGGGGGGGAAATATATAATTTAACTTATACTCATCGGCTTCCAAAGAGCACACTGCAGGTAGGGCATTCTTTAAAACGTTATCTACCATTTGTATCCATAATTCATCTGGTACAAACAAGTCTCTAAACTTGACCTCATGAGAACCGAACTTCAGAGCCTATGTAACTATACTCAAAGCAGGGCTCTTTAGCCTCTGTGTCAGAATCCCATAGGGTGCTTGGTGTAAATATAGATTCTCTGGTCATATTTGAGACCCAGATAAGAATTGCTGGGGTAGGTTCTGGGAATTTGCATTTTTAATAAGCACACCAATGGATTTGAATGCACTGTAAAGTCCAGTATTTCCATCCATATTATATTCTTTTTTAAAAAATTAGCTTGAGATACAATTCACATTCCATGCAATTCACCTATGTCATGTGCATAATTCAGTGGTTTTTGGCATATTCAGATATGTGGAGGTACCACCACAGCCAATTTTAGAACATTTTCATCACCTCTAAAAGAAACCCCGTCACTTACTTATCACTCTCCATGCCCTTTCTGCCCCTCCGCCCACCCCCGGGCCTGAACAACCACTAATCTACTTTGTGTGTCTGTACATTTCCCTGCTGTAGACTTTCGTATGAGTGGAATCATATAGTGTGGTTTTTTGTGACTCCTTTCACTTAGAATAATGTTTTCAAGCTTCATCCATGTTGTGACATTGGTACTTCACTCCTTTTTATGGCTGAATTATATTTCATTGTATGGAAATACTACGTTTTGCTATCCGTTCACCTACTGATGGGCATCACTGGGTTTTGTTTTAAGGAATTTTATGTTTTTTTTAAATGTGTCCTTTTTATCATCTCAAGCTTCTTGGTTACCCACACTGAGTGGACATTTGGGTATTTCCACCTTTTGACTATTACAAATAATGCTGCTGTGAACATTTGCGTATGAGTTTCTGCGTGAACATGTGTTTGCATTTCTCTTGGGTATATGCTTAGGAGTGGAATTGCTGGGGCGTATGGTAATCCCATGCTGAACCTTTTGACCCTTTGCCAGACTGTTTCCTACAGAGGCTGCACCATTTTACATCTACCCCCCAACCACCTGGCAGCGTAGGAAGATTCTGATTCCTTCACAGCCTCCCTAGCACTTGTTATTATCCAACTTTTTGATTCTAGAATCCTAACAGGTGTGGCATGATACCTTGCTGTGGCTCCTGATCTGCCTTTCCCCGATGACCAAAACCTCAGACACCTTCTTGTCTGCTTATTGGCCATTCGTGTGTCTTCTTTGAAGAAATGGCTGTTCCCATGCTTTGCCTATTTTTAAATTGGGTTGTCTTTTTATTATTGAGTTGTAAGAGTTCTTTATATATTTTAGATATAAGTCCCGTGTTGTGTGTATATGGTTTGCAAGTATTTTCTCCCATTCTCTGGCTGTCTTTTCACTTTCTTGATGGTGTCCTTTGAAGCATAAAAGTTTTTAATTTTGATAAAGTCCAAGTCATCTTCTTCTTTTGTTGCTTGTGCTTTTGGTGTCATATCTAAAATCCTTTGCAAAATCCTATATTTGCCCCTACATTTTTATTCTACAAGTTTCATAGTTTTTGCTCTTACATTTAGGTCTTTGATCCATTCTGAGTTATTTTTGTGCGTGGTGTGAAATGAGGGTCCAACGTAATTCTTTTGCACGTGGCTCGTAGGTGTTCTAGAACTGTTAAAAATAGGAAATTTTAAGGCATCCCACCTTGCATAAGTTTTGCTCCTTATTATATCTGGCTTGATTAGTCTTAGAAAAGCAGGAATTCACATGTAGATGCCCATCACATGACAACCTCATTTCATACTCTATTGGTTAACTATTAAATAGAGAACTAATGAGATATATATGAGGATTGCAAACCATATGCCAGATTTGGTTTGCCATGTACTCTAGTTCTGATTATTTGAAATCTAGTTCTGCTTATTTGAAATCTTTCCTGACAAAGAGGATTTTACTTTTTTTTAGTAGTTGCTGGCAGAGAAGGCTTTTCAAACCACAGTAGTTGCCCCAGGGCAGGTATGATCTTGAAAACTGGGTCTACTTGAAGCCAGTCACTTATTTTTTAAGGGGTGAACTCAGTTTGGGGGCAGAAACAGGATAAAATAATTACAGTGGGAGGATATGGAAATGTGACAAGAAACCCCCTCAAATGATTTCATCATTACTATTTTTATTTTAATTTGTTATGGATGCCCACATGATTATACAGATTTATATCCTAATTGGGTCATCTACTTTAGTTTGGATAATTTGGGCATTGTTTGGCTTTTCAATAAGAGATTAAAAACAATGGTGGGCCGGCCCGGTGGCGCACTGCTACAGTGCGCTGCTTGGGAGCACGGCGGCGTTCCCGCCGAGGGTTCGGATCCCACATACAGACCGGTTCCTGCTCACTGGCTGAGCGAGGTGCGGGCGTAACACTGAGGGTTGCGATCCCGTTGCCGGTCCTGGTCCAGTACGGGCGCGACACTGAGGGTTGCAATCCGTTGCCGGACACGAAAAAAGACAAAAGGAAAAAAAAAAAGCAATGCAATGAACACTCCGGCTGAGCAGGTACAGCTCCAGGCAGATGAGGAGAGCATCTTTAGTCTCCTGCAGGAAGGAGTCTCGTGCTGGGCATGGTGTCTGGAGGTATGCTGACTGATTGCCTGTCTTCTAGACCAGCCCTAGAATGGTCCCCAGCCACGGATTCAGTTCCAGATCTTATTTCTTTGACAACCCTCGAAGATATGACAGTGATGATGACCTTGCCTGGAACAGTGCCCCTCAGGGACTTCAGGGAAGGTAAGACCCTCGTTCACATTAGCGAGGCCTCATTAGGAGCGAGAAGGCTGCACCAATGAAATGGATTCGAACAAAGAGTGAGTTCCTACATAAGAACCCTGCAGCTAGATGTCATGGACTGGGCAGCAGTCTAGTAGATCATTGTACTTACGTGAAACAGTCTGGAATGAGAAAGGACTGACATCAAACTTTAAAAAGTCCTATAGCATTATTATACACAGTCGTGTTTCTTGAACACGATTCCAGGGAGTGTGCAAAAGGAAATGATGGTTTAAAAGAAAACCAACTTTTTTTAAACTGCAGGATTTTCAGAGCCTGTAAGATGCTAATATGTGCTCTGAATCTGCAAGAGGGAAATAGAGCACTTGACCAAGGGGTCACTCAATGGAAAATGATTCGGAAAATCCAGGCAGACTTCTTTAATGAGATTTCTAAAGCCAGAGAGTAAACTTAATGGTATTCATTTATTAGAATAAATTGTATAAGGACCCAATTTTCAAATTTGAGTGATGTCAGTTCTCAATTGAAAAATTTATTTATATTTTCAAAATTTTATTTTAATTTACCAATATACAGTGTAGTAAATTTTCATGTCCCTTTACCAATTCCTCCTTTTCTCTCCCCTCCCCCCAAAAATGCATTTAAATGAAGGGTATTTGGGGTCTTCATTTAGACAAATATTTTTTTAACAAACACACGACTACAGTATTTACTGTGTGTCAGACACTGTTCTGAGAAATTCACAAGTATCAGCACATGTAGTCTTCCTAGCAATCCTGTGCAGTCAGTACTATTACTATCCTCGTATTACAGATGAAACCGTGGCATGCAGAGGTGTAGGTGACTTGTCCACAGTCACACAGCTGGCAGGCGGTCAGGCTGGGATTCCCACAGGCAGGCAGGCTTGTTCACATCTGTGCACATAGGTACTGTGTATGGCTTAGGGCCCCATCTCTTAGTCTCACCTACCCTTATGTTATACGTTCACGTGAGTTGTCATAGGAAGAGTATCCTTTCTTGAAAATCCACTTGGAGATTTCTTACAGAATATTTTGGAGAGGGCAATTAAATGATAGAGTTCGAACCAGCGTACAGGACAGGACAGTGTGCAGGACAATAACAGAGCTACCACCCAGCTGCCACCACCCTTGGCACAGAGGAGGGACGGAAACACTGAGGACGTGAACTCACTGCAGCTGCAGCAGATGCACCCAGGACCCCTCTGCCCCGGCCATGTGCGCTCTGCACACAGGAGGAGTGGTAGCTACCAGGATCTCTCCCTTTACTCAGTTGCTGGTGCTGCAGCCACACTCCACGGCCCACACTCCTCCTGTCCCTCTTTCAATCTGTGGATCTGGGACCAGCAGCAAGGCCAGCAGGGGTGAGGGTAGCCCAAGGGCTGACCTCCTGGTCCTGGGAAAGGGCGTGTCCTTCGTGCAGTCCTTTGTGAATTTAGACTTACTAAGATTTTAACATTGTTTCTTCTGGGATGAAATGATAAAAGACTAGATAGGCTTACTTTTTAATTCCTTATTACTAACAGTAAAAGTCCTTAGAAAACCTTAAAAGAGCTCTGAAAGACCAGAAGAAAAGCTGGGAGAATCCACTGCTTTCTCAGTGGATCAGGGAGCAGAGAGACCGTGGTCAGATGGAACGTAAGAGGATGGTTGAGAAAAGAAAGCAAGCGGACGATCCCCGGGGCCATGTAAAGAACACAATTAGGACGCGGGCCAATAAACAAGGACTTCCCAAGGGTCCAAAGCTGTCCTTCAGCTTGCTCGGTCTGAGCTCCACCTCTGCCCTACTCTCCCCATGCATTTCCCAGTAGCTGCGTTTGCCCCTTTAAACCCACACCCTGCAGGAGCAACCCCGACCCTTCAGCTGCCACAGGTGACTTAGAGGTACGAGAATTCTCACTCCCTACATGGGGGAGAAAAGACTCCCTTTCCACTACATAGAGGAAATAACTTGCGTGTACTAGTGCTGACTGTATATTAGAGGAAACAACTTGCATGTACTGGTACTGACTGTATATTAGATACTGTGCTACGCACTTCACAGGTATTAACTTAGACCCCACGGTAGCCCAGTGATGCCGTTATTAATATTACTCTCATTGTCCAGATGAGGAAACTGAGGCACAGAAGTTATTTGCCCAAAGACACACAGATAGTGAACTATACTCCATAAAGACTCCCTTTCCACTACATAGAGGAAATAACTTGCGTGTACTAGTGTTGACTGTATATTAGAGGAAACAACTTGCATGTACTGGTACTGACTGTATATTAGATACTGTGCTACGTACTTCACAGGTATTAACTTAGACCCCACAGTAGCCCAGTGATGCCGTTATTAATATTACTCTCATTGTCCAGAGGAGGAAACTGAGGCACAGAAGTTATTTGCCCAAAGACACACAGATAGTGAACTATACTCCATATTAGGATTTGGATATAATTTGTCGCTAAAAAATTTGTTATACGTAGTAACTAGTTTAAGTTTCTAGCAATACTATACTTCTGGGCTCTAAAGCGTTCATAGACTTTTGTGGGTTGGCTTGTAGCACTGCACATAGCACTGTTTTGTGAAAAAGCCACTTGAAGGAACTCTGGGATTGTCTATACAGAATCCTAGCTCTGTCTACCTAAACTAGACATGTCACACCTAATACAATGTTTCAAGTCACTGAACTATTTCTTTCTTTTTAAGTTTTGCTCCAGACTACTATGACTGGGGACAACAGACTAACAGTTTCCTGACACAAGGAGGGACTTTGCAACGAGATGTAGCTTTGGATCCTGACAAACCAAGCCATGGATAGCACCATTTAACAGTTTTCTGGAAGATTCCTCAGTTGAAAAGCTTCAGAAAGACACAGTTAATGACAGCTGAATTTTTAGGACACTTTTTCTTAAGAAATAGGACTTGATTTTTGTTACAGGTTTCTAATGGCTGCACAGGACTAAGCAATAATTTACATTGATAAACCCTTATTTTAGTACTAAAAAGTGAGCCTGGCTATTTCAGTGGGTATAATTTAAACTTTTTAAAAAGAAAATCTGTACTTTTATAAAGATGTATTTTATATAACTTAAATAATAATGCTAAAGTGTACTAGGGTTTTTTCTTGAGAATCTTGTAGTTTGCACAGACTTTTATGCATAATTCACTTTAAAAGTATAAAATATATGGTCTAATAGTTTCTTAAGGCTTTTGGACCAAAGTATTCCTTAAATCCTTACCTCTTCGGGTCTCATATTCTGAGCTCCACATGGGTAACTTCTGAAATACAGTTGACATCTAGAAAGCCAATAGCAACTCCAAAGTTGAAAGTTCAACTGAAATGGTGCATCAACAGACTATAAGGTAACTGGCTCTTTAGAGTTTCCTTAAGGTCCAGATGGCTGGACCCTCAAAGAATCTCTTGGATTTTGCCAAAAGTCTGGTACTTCCTTTCAATAGGTCACTAATGGATACACTTCAATGATAAGTTGACAATGTTAAAAATGTAGCTGACTTACACTATTAAACCTCCTCTGCTATACTCGTAGAGATTTTGCATGCTTTTTTCATCCCAATAAAATTAATATCCGTTACCTCAGGACTACAAGACGGCACCTTACCCAACTCAATGAACGTTCATTCTGTTCAAGGAGACGGTAAGTTCCAAAAAGGGTGTTAATGACATATACCCCTAGCCCTCACCAAAAGACTATGTGGACTCCTGTTTTGTTTTGTTTTTTTCTTTTTGTAATCTTCAACCATATTTAAAACAGTGCCCTTTATTTTTAAATAGCTCTGTAGGTGGCATGCATTGTGCTGTGCTGGGGCACGATGCCCGTCTCTCTGCCACATAAAGGGCGTGTTCCAGACAACTGCTTGTAAGTTGTTTAAGTGAAAAACATGTTATGAAATGCTACTTCCCCAACTAGAGGTGCCATTCTAAAACCTCCACTATACATATATTCTGGAGCCATAAAACACTGCCTGTTGGGAGGCTGAATGCTCCGATTTTCTACAAAACAGAGGTAAGACTCTAGAGGAAGCTCTGTTAGCAGAGAGAGGGTTCTGCTCTGCCTAGGAAATCTCATCCCAGGACAGATGAAAGAGTGAAAGAAAAGGCGTTATATTAGCCCTCCCTACGTGATGAAACCCATCTCAAATGATTTCTCGCTTTGGTCATCAGGAATAATTTATCTCTGGGCATTGATTTCACAGAGTTCAAGTCTACTTCTTATTCTAATGTTATTTAAAACTGGGATCTCAAGTTTCAAAGGACGGGTCACGATTGGGTTTTTCATCTGTGTAGGACACCTTTATCCTGCATAATCCAACGTAACATTCTCGCCTTTTAGTACGTGGAAAAATTTGGGTCACATACCATTTAAAATAGGTGCTTGTCAGGGAAAATTCTCCACTGAAGCAATACCTGTACCGATTATTCAGGTTGCCTTAAAATAAAAATTGTTATTCTAAACAGCTTTAAGATACCCTGTTGTGGTCAGACTGTCTTTATTACTAATACTTGGCAGAATTTAAAGACAGGCTCAGTATATGCTTAAACTCCTTTAAATCATGTCTTCAGAAAGTCCATTAGTCCTTCAATATTAAGTCAGCTAAGGGCACATATAGTTTTAAAAACAGTGATGTCACTAAAATCAAGAGTTATTGTATTCATTCTATAACATGTAAGTTCTTATAATTCTGCTTTAACTGGCAGAAAAATTGAATACCCAGCATTCACTGATAAAAACCGTAATCTTTTATGATGAAGCTGCTAGCATTTATTTGAACTATTATTTTTGGTTGGAAAGGATAAAAATGTCCTAAGTGCCTATTTTCTTCTCTCTTTCCCTTTAAGAATGCTAAAACTTTTAGGAGTGTTGTAAACACATACCAGAATATAAAAAACTATGATTGTGTCAAACTGTCTTTTTCTCATAGTAAATGGTAACAAACACCCTGTGAGATGTTGCAAGAACGGTGGGGGAAGATAAAAATGCCTATTTTCTTCTCTCTTTCCCTTTAAGAATGCTAAAACTTTTAGGAGTGTTGTAAACACATACCAGAATATAAAAAACTATGATTGTGTCAAACTATCTTTTTCTCATAGTAAATGGTAACAAACACCCTGTGAGATGTTGCAAGAACGGTGGGGGAAGGAAAATGAAAATTGCCTTGAGCTTCCTGATTGACGTTTCTGCTGGGCGCACTGAGAAAACTGCAGAATATTAAAGGCCAAGAGAAAGAAAGGAGTTGCGATTACTGGTTCTAAAATACCCAACGTCCTCTTGTTTTAAAGCAACTAGATGAAATTACAACCCTGATAATTTCAAGGTGAAAAGTATACAGAGAAGAGGCAATATCACTGAAAATCTTGTACTGTCATTGATCTGAATCTCATGTGACACTGAAAGGCTGCATGTGAAGGTTTCTGGGTCACTGTTGGAATCCGTGTCCACCGCCGCAGCTAACTAAGAATTCCAACTCGTACCGGTATCTTTCATTGGCTCTTTCTTTTTTTATAATTAACCTGGTTAATTGAGCTGACGATTAAAACCTCTAGAGTGTGTTACACACAGAGTTGTGGACTGTAAGAAGTTTTATTATTGCAATATACATCTCAGCCACGCTTACTTAATGCCATTTTTCTCTAGAATACATCAGGCACATTCTTAATGTCTGTGCTGGTTACCACATTTAGCTGCTTAGGTCAGGCACACTAATGCCTCCCCAAATTTCCTCTTTCACCAAAATCCAAGACTCCTGCTCTGTGTTGGCCTTAGTGTTGGGCCGACACTTAGTGGAACACTTACTCACTATCAGGAGGAAAGGAATTAGCCCTGGAGCTTGAGAAGTGCTGTGAGAAACAGGTTTTCATTTATATTTACCCAGTGGATGTTGCTAGAATATTGCTTTTATTTTTGATTACAGTCTTTATTGAAGTTATACAAAAAGAATCTCCCCAAATGAAAAAATACATTATATACAAAAGCACTTTCCCTTGGGAGGCTCTGTTTTTTGTTAACAGGCAGGGCTTGCAGCTGTAGGCCAAGCCTGTGCTGTCCCCTCCACTGTCCCCGGTTTTCAGCCCAATTCTGAGCCTCCATCTCCATGTTCTCCAGAACTTTGTTTCCACTGGGGACAGTGTCCCCACTGCCTCCTTCCACCTCTGGCTCTTGCCTGGCTTTTTGCATCTTTCCAGGGCTTCCTCCTCTGGTTTCCTCTCCTTTGTGACATGATGGGCACGTCGGTCACACAGTTTGAAGTGCCATCTGTTGTCTACTGGCCATTACGGAGCCCGAAGAGCCACCTCCAGTAGCAGTGACCCTGAAGCTGAGCTCTCTACCAGAGTGGGCTTCAGAGGCGATCCAGCTGCGCTCCCACTGCGCTGGGACTCCTTATACCCTCTGTCTTCTAATTTCAGGTAGCAGTTCCTTCTCGTATTCAGTAGGTGACCCTTCAGCCTCCTTCTTGTGCTCGTTTAGTACGGCCACTCTTCTCAATGACTTCGGTAGCTTTGCTGACCCGTGCCTCTGCCTCGTCTTACAGAGAGCTGCACCCACAGGGCAGGCCTAGCTGGTGGGGGGCTCTGCAAGGCGACGGTCATGGGTCTCCAGGTACTGCTCTTGCAGGCGTGGGCCAGCCTGGAACCCCTCCATAGCTTCCATCTAGTTCTCAGACTCAACCCTAACTTCTCCAAGTTTAAGATGTGCCTACGCAGCACCAAGCTGAGCTGCTTCTGTTTCTTGCCTTTTAAAAACGATCTTTGCTAAATCCAGCGTATCCCAGGCACGCTCGAGGTTCCCGGTCTCCTCCTTTCCGTTGTCTTAAAAAGACTTGTTTTCAAGAATTGAATTGTTGACATTTCTTTATCCTTGTCATTTTCTTTATCCTCCTCTTCTGCGCCTTGGGTTTCTTACCAACTCCAGAAGTGATTTCCCATTAAAAAAAAAAAGGCTTCTCCCAATTGTTAGCTGTTTTTCCATGCTTCTTACCTAAAAGACTAGCTGCTTCCTGGAACGCACTGACAGCTGCTGGAATATCTCCCATCACCAGATGTTTCTGTCCTAAACCCGACAGTTTCTTAGCTTCACTGTCCACATCCAGACTCTCCACTTTGTCTGCAGGAGGAGACGGGCAGTAGCATCGTCGTCAGTTGTGATCAAACTTAATCCTTAACCATTCAAATATCTGGACTTGAAAATAAGCAGCGACTTCACAGCTAGAACCACAGGGAGGGGGCACAATTTAAAAGGCGGTGCTCCCAGCTGCAAGGAGGCAAGCAGGACCCTCCTGGAGTCCTGGGATGGCCTTGGATTCTTACGTACAAACCCTTTCTTCCTGAATTTAGAATTGCTAACGTATTTCTTGTCCTTTTAGATTGTGATCTGATGTCCAGGAACTGGGATCTGATTCATCTTTGTATCTTTAAAACTTGTGAGCAGAAAGCAGCTCTGTGGTGGTGGGAGCAGTGGCTGTGGACTCTGTGGCCATCGTTCCCGAGGTGGTGGACCAGTGGGTGGGATTAGAGCCTGTAAGGAAAATGGAATTTGGGACGCCAGAGACTTTCTCAGGGTCATTAAGTGCTTTTGGACTGCTTTTATTTTTTAACAGTACAGGTGAACTTACATTAGAACTAAATGTATCTAAGCATTTAAAGCTTTGAGATTTCCAATTAAACAAACTATTTTAAAAAATACCTTGCTTTTGCTTTAGATTGCTGCATGGTAAAGTATACAGTGGTACGTGTCTGACCAGACACACCTAATAAATGCATTGCCATTTCCTATCCTATGTGAGAATTTTATTAGAAACATTTCTGACTATGGGTCCAGATGGAGATGCTGTTGGAAAGGATCAGGCTAAAATGATGGAGTTCTCATCAGACGATCAATAAGCTGGTTAAAGTGAGGAAACACTTCTTTAAAAAGGGACAGTGGGGATTAGGGAGTGGAGTTCAGTCTATTGAGTGCCCTTTACATGCTGGACACTGGACTTGGCACTTGTCATGTGTCTGAGGATCCTACTCTATAAACTCAGCAACACTCACAAGTATTAACCCTGTTCTTGGCCCTTAGCTGGGCTACATGAAGAGCCCTTGCACCAAAGGGTCAAAATACCTTGAAGGCTGCTGAGGTCCCTGCACCCCCAACCTAGATCTGTGCTGGGTTCCCTCTATCTGTCGCCAGCTCCTCTGGGCCAGGGCAGTGATACTGCGGTCATTCTGTTTTGAGATTGGCTGCCCAGGTCATCAAGTACAGGTTCAAGGTCCTCAGATCCAAATCCAGTGACTCATCAGCTCCTAGTGCCATCTACCTGGTTCCTCCGAATCTGGATTCCCTACCCTCTATTCCTTGAGCTGTGGGGGGGCCCTGCCCTGTTTTCCCAGAAACGGATTAGTACCTTGCCAATGTTAATTCTTTCTAAACGTGGGCTGCCCTTTGGGACCTTGGTGGCCCTACCACTGAAAATATTAGACTCTTTACATCCAGAACAGAATCTCTGCCCCTGAACTTTGTGCTAGTCAGAACTGGGAACTGGATGCCTACTCTCTACAGCTAGGTCTGTGACCTGTGTCTCTTTAGCTTATATGATCCTCAAAATTCCTGCCTTCTACTGATTCCCACTGCGATGACCTTTCTCCCATGAAGCTCACTAACCTACAACTGTCCCTCTGGTCTCTTAACAGTCTCAAGTCATGGTGCTCCTTGAAGGCATCGGTATAAAAAGGGTGTGCTTAGAATAAACGGGTGCTTTACCAGGGCCATTACATTTGTGTAAATGAGTGTCCTTAGTGTGCGGTCCCCTTGTGAATTCACCAGCCCAGAGTCTGGGCTTCAGGCTTGCAGATTCAAAGCCTGTCAAAGGCGGCAGAACACACGCTCATTTGGAGAACACTGAGTTAGACGGTTTGAGCATGCTCTACATGTTAAAGGATTTTTTTTAAAGCTCATAAGGGAAAATAAACAAGAACAGTTAGGAAAACCATTTATAAAAAAGCAGGGGGAAGATGAGAGAGGACCAATGCACCAGATACTAAAAAATGAAGCTTGAGTTGTTAAAACAATGTGGTCCTGGTGCGTGAGTAAATGAGACCAATAAAATAGAAAAGAACCCAGATATAGAGCTAAACACGTGGGATTTTAGACAGAAGTGTAGCCTCTCAAACACTATAGTGAGGAAAAGATGAACTGTTCATTCAGTATAAATGGTATCGGAACAACCAGGAAGTCATCTGAGAAAAAAATTACCTTGGGTCCATAACTTACACCTTGTGTCAGGGAACACTCCAAGGGATCAAAGTTTGATGCTAAAAAAAAAATAATAAAATATAGGCAAATATCTCTGTTGCTCTGGAGTGAGAAAGGCATCCTAACTGTGACTCAAAATCCAGAAACCACTAAAAAATTGATAAAGCAGACTACATAAAAAAATAAGTAAATAAATAAAACAAAACTTGCACGGCAAAATCATAAGCAAAGCCAAGACAGATGACAAATTGGAAAAATCGATAAGAAAAATATCAACAATGTAGTAGAAAAATGGGGAAAAGATAGAAAAGATACGACACAAAAGGAAATCCAAATGGCTCTTAAACATATGCAAAGGTGGTCAACCTTACTCGTAGTAAGAATAGAAACTAAAAACACATCGATGCATGTTTTTCATCTCCTAGTGTGGCCAAAATCCAGCACTGTAATAACGTCTGTGTTGCTGAGGTTGTGGGTAGACAGGGACTGTCATAAGTTTCAGATGGTGTGTGAATGGGTAACCGCCCCCTACAGAGGGCAATATGCCAGTATCTTTCAAAATTACAAATGCACATGGTCTTTGACCCTGAAATTCCATTTTTGGAAATTTATTCTAAAGGCATATATTTACGTCAATGTGAAATGACATATGTAAAAGGTCTGGAAACAATCCAAATGCCCATTAATACAGGACTGGTGATTAAACAATGTACGGCCATATCATGGAATACGAAGCTGCTACTTGGGATAGGTGAAGACTGCCAAGAAATATTAAGTGGGGAAAACAGCAAATGGTACATTTATGATGTCACTTGGGTAAAAATGAGAGGGAAAAAAAACCCTAAAATTTTCCATTTGTATATGTTCGTATATGCCTTAAACAGTGTGGATGGAAATGTAAGAAACCAAGGACAGAGCTTATTTATGATGGGGTGGGGCAGTTTGCAACCCAGAAGGTGGGCGAAGGATAGAAGGGAGACAGTCACTGTATAACTTTTTACATCTTTTGATTTTTAAACCACATGCATGTATTACCTACTCAGAAAATTAAATAAAATAAGCATATTTTAAAAGCCTTATGACTCGATACAAATCAACATGCTAAAAAAAAGCCCCCACTTTTTGGTGGAATGGTGATAGGCCAACTTATGAAATGACACAAGCAGACCACACCAGGAGCAGAGGCTCTGGAGCCAGACTTTTCGGTCTCAGATTCTAGCTCCACACCCCAGAATCGGTGGCTGCGGACACATTACTTAGCCTCTCTTATCCTCTGTTTTCTTATTTATAAAACAAAGAAGTGACTGTACGTACCTACTAGAGCTGCTGTGAAGATTTAATGACGCACATTCTAAAGCCACTAATACAGCACAAGCCGGTGCTGGCGGCTACAATCACAAGCAGAAACAGCCTCAGACCACTTACATTTCCTCCCCTCCCTTGGTTATAAATTATAATCAAATCCTTGTCTCAGGAAAGAAATGCTTAAAAAAGGGGGAAAAAACAAGACGGAAAAGATTGCAGAAACGTGTTTTAATTCACATTTTCTAGAATCCGGCGGATACAACAGCAAATTGTTTGGGATTCCGTTCAAAATCAAAACTGTGCCTGTAGATGTTACTTAAAATAGAGCGCACACAAATCTGTGTGTCTGATTTTTTACCAAATAATTTCCACGATACCATACATCTAATCTGTGTGTTTTGGTGAATAGCTACGTGTTCTGCAGGTACTTCACTTTGCAAACTGCTGAGAGGTTTATGTGAACTGTTCCCAGATTTCCAGCTGCAGGCAATGCTGATGAAGGTGAAAATAGCTGTCCTTTCTTATATACAACGGCACCTAGACAGAGTTGGAAAGCATGGCACAGTGTTTCATATACACAGAGACTACAAATAAGTAGTGAGTAATTCACAACGCTAAAATGTCAGAAAATAAAACATTTTGACTTATCGAATTTCAAAACTGTGCAATCTATTGCTATTCTGTCTGATCTTCATCATCTAAGAATCAAAACAGAAGAAACCTTCAGAGATTACCTATTTTAATATATACTTTGTCTAACTTACAGAGATGCCACTTTAAAAAAAAGAAACTCACGCCATTGAAGGAAGGAATATTTGCCTTTTCTTCGTTTGCTTCATCAGCTGGTACAATCATGTCTGTCAAATTATATTATCAAGTGCTGGATTTTTAGAATAGATGACGAGATAAAGACAAAATGCCAAGGAGTACTCACTAGCCAGGCATTTTCACGATGCAAACACTACAATAGCATCACTCCACAGCAAAAGGTATGTGAACTGGAAAAACAGTTTATATCACAAGGACATAAAATATCACGAGGCTCACAAAACAAAGTTTACACAACCATTTACGAAATACACTCACATATAAAAATGTAGGTTGCCCCCCACAATCTAATGATGGTAAAACAGAATTAATCAAATGAATTTCGGCTTAAGAATACTTCCTTTATTTCCTTAGTAGTGAAAAAAACTTGTTAAAACCTTGAAAATAACTTTTTACCCTTTAGTTTCCTAGAACACACTCTAATATACATTTTTCCTAAGCTTGTAACAAATCACAGTGAAGAAAAAAGCAATAAATGGAAACAACCAAGGATTTTCTCTAGTAAATAGAGTTTAAGTAACAGCCTTTATCTTTAAGGAACGGGGAAGGGACGCTACCAAAAAGATCTTCAAATTTACAGTAATAACAAAGTGCAAAATTTTCACATTTTCTCAAACTCTACATGAACACTGTGTTAAGAATAATCTTATTAGTTTGCTAGCAAGGTTACGTAAATATTCCCTTTCTAGACAGTTTGTCTTAAGACCCCCTCCCTGGCCATACAATACTTGCAAACCCTAAAAAAGAAAAGAAAAAAAAGGAAGAGGCTCCAATCAAGCCCACCTTTTTTATTCAACTTAACAAAACCACCACCAACCACAAAACCCCTAGTTAATAAAGGCTAGAAAGTAGGTGAGAAAATAACTCTAGTGAGGCCTTACTCCTACCGACAGCCCTTCAAGGGATGGCTAAGTATTTTTAAAAGAGAGGTGAGCCAACTAAATACAATTTAAACTCACTGCACATATTTCAGACTTTGGTAGGATAAGACATGGGTTTAAGAGCACTTATTTCCTTCGGAAAAGACTCACGAGTCTAAGGAGAAACTCTAGATTTTGTACCTGCGTTATTTCTACACAGATACAAGCTTCCAAATGCATTATATTGTATCGACCGACACCTTTAAAAGAATCCAGATTTTAAATATTGTTTAAAGACTTTAAGTCCCAAGTTTAGAAAATGACAGATAAGGATGTATGAGTCATTAACTGGTACGAGTCACACAAAATACCATATGTACAATAAACTAAAACGCAAAGGGGGAGATGGAATGAGCTTAGAGGCTTGACCTAATCTACCTGCTTAGAGATCCAACCAAAGAACTCACACTGGGAGTTGGAGGGTTGCATAGATCGTCTTCTAAAATTAAATCCTTTAAAAATGCTTACTTTAAAACAGCAAATCTTGTGTATATAATATCTTTACTTGGCATTATCAATTCATATAATCCCACTCAAATTTTATCAAGAAGTAATCTGTTAAGTAAATATTTATGCAACTTTTTTTCCTTAAAGTAACTGAAAATTTCTAAAATTAGGGTAGGCACAAAGAAAGGCGAAACCAGAAGAAGGGATTTGGAGTTCTAAGTAAGAGAGTCCTCTGGAGCCTGCACCGTGCACATGAAATCTGGCCGGGCAGCACAGGCGAGCGTGCTTACTCACCTCCACCAAAGCAGGTGCTTTAGACCCAAACCCAAACAGCAACAACAGCAACTAAAAGTCTTAAATAAAAACCAATGAACTTGAAGTCCTGGGGAACCTTAAGGAATTTCTGTAGCTATTTGCTTTGTGATGTCCACAGTTCCATGCTATGGAAGGTGACACACACAGAACGAGGCAAGGCCAAAAACACACTGAAAAACCACTGATAAAATATGTCACTGATACCAGCCCTAAGCGACATGTGTTCTCTAGTTCTTTTCCACAACAGACTGTGAACCGTGTTATATCAGGACGGAGACATCCATTGTCATTTAAAGGTTGACAAATGGAAATAAAAAATAGGAGCATAAGAACAAAACCAATTGTAAAATAGAACAGCAGAAAACTCAACAGATGGAAACACATGAAGTGAGACACAGAAGTAGTATGATTTACATGTTTTAAAAGTATATACTTCATTTATAAATATCACTTATTAAGGTCCATAAATATTCAAGTGAGCATTTGAATTTTCTCTTTAAGAGTTCAAAATTCTCGAAGTCTTAGAAGATCAGTCTCTTTCTGCTGAAATGTCCAAGATTAAAAGGCTTCACAAGTCACTTTTTTGTCTCTAATTAGACATACAAAAGCCTTTATTACCTACTGTGTTGTAATAAGACTTTAAAATTCTGTAACTCTCTGATACTTGTAGAGAGCCTGTAGGAGGGAAAAAAAGCGTATTAGTACAGCTAATATAATACGTATGTATTTCAAGTTACTGATATAATTACATGGGCTAGGATGTGAAAGCAGTATCTAAAACTAAAGAAATGCAGGCAACACGGAACACTAGAGCCTCCATTTTTAAATGAGTATTATGCTGTAATTCCTTATCAAAGAGTGACAAAAGACAGAGCTATGCAGTTCTTTGGTCCTGGTTTAGAAGGGGCAAAGGAAGCCAGTTACTCCTTATTATCAACAGATTGTAGATTACTGATGGGAACAGTGACATGAATAATTCGTAACAATGAAGAATGTCAGACTGTTTCCGTCCAGTCTTGCATGTCCATCGTGCACACTGCGCTCCAGATGACGGCTCCTTCCTCGTTGCTCTCCAGACACACTGACTTGCTGTATGTTCTCAGCTCCTCAGCAGTAAAGGCTGTTTGTCTTCTGCTGAGTCCCTACCTGTGCCCTGTACCAATCAATGTTTATGGTGTTCAATAAATTATTGCTGATTGATTGAATGAATGAATGAAGCACTTCTCAGCCTAGGTACGGAAGTAAAATTCTGGGATGCGAATCACAAACAAATAATTCTATAAGCTCAATTATCCTTATGTACAATTCAGGATGGACATAAGAAAAATCCGATGATTTTCATTTCCTATAACTTAGGGTGACGCGCTACACAGTATTCAGTGCTTTTCTTTACTCTAAATACTTGACAGAAACAAAGTTATTTATTGAGAGCTTAGGATGTGTTCTGAGCCCATCACATATATGATCTCATTAAACATTAATGAGAACAAAGTTGATACAATTAACCCTGATTTTACATCTGAGAAACACTGAGGCTCAAATAAATCAAGCAATTTTCCCAGGTCACCCAGCTAGCAGGTGGGTTTCAACCGGTGAGAAAAGGTTTTATCATCCTCATTTTCCTGAGGAAGGATGTAAGCTACAGCAGTGATCTGCCTGAGTTCACCAGACCAGTAAATGGCGGGCCAGGATTCCAGAACTCTAGGACCCCTGCGTCCGAGAGTCCAGTCTTCTCCTGAAGGCAATACAGGGAACAGGCTCTGGATAGAGATCTGGGGCTAGAAGGGTTACAGCATTTATGAGCATTCTTGATGAGACCTAGGGAAATTTTGATGAAATTCTCAATTTAATTTTTTTCTTTCTCAATTTAATTTTATTTTGACTTAAAGTATATTTCAATTGTTTAAAATCTTTTTTTTTCCATTTCATTTTAAATAATTTCAATTTCATTCCATTTCTACTGTGTTATCTTTCTACAGGTCCCATAAGTGGGTGGACTGAATTTTTCGTGAAATACCAATTAATGAACAACAATCTATGTCTATTTTGCGGTGTTTGAAATCGCAACCTACATTGTCATCTTTAAACACAGGGACACAACAGGAGAAATCTTTGCTATTAAGATGGGAAATGTACAATTAATCTATTTTTAATTCAACTGCCTCTTTAACTTAAAATGAATATTTATAAAACACAAACAAGGGCCGGCCCGGTGGTGCACTGGAGAGTGTGCCGCTTGGGAGTGTGGCGGCGCTCCCGCCGAGGGTTCGGATCCCATGTGGAGACCGGTTCCCGCTCACTGGCTGAGCGCAGTGCGGACGCAACACTGAGGGTTGCGATCCCGTTGCCGGTCCCCGGTACAGGCGCGACACCGAGGGTTGCAATCCCGTTACCGGTCAGTAAAAAAAAAAAGACAAAAAGGAAAAAAAATAAAATTAAATTAAAAAAAAAATAAAACACAAACAATAATTTGTTACTTGATTTCCTATTTTTTTTTTAAAATTCTTCTATGATTTGGCTTTTTGCCCTTTTTTCTGAGACAGCACAGTATTATTTTCTAATAAAACACAAACAATAATTTGTTACTTGATTTCCTATTTTTTTTTAAAAATTCTTCTATGATTTGGCTTTTTGCCCTTTTTTCTGAGACAGCACAGTATTATTTTCTATGACTCTTTTTCTGATGTTCTGTATTCCTGTCAGCTGGTACTGCATGCACCTCTGGTTGGCAAATTCAAATTAATTCTGAAACCATTTGTGGTATAAACAAACTGCAAACTGTATGTCTGTGTACAGAAAAAAATATGGTACAAAGGAGTGAAAGAAAGATGACTCCTCAGCTTAAGAAATAAAGAGGATTTAATCTCTTTTTCTTTTATCATCTTCTCAACCAAGCTGTCCTTACGCCTGCTGTTATACCTGAATAAGTCATAGCCAGCTAAAGAGAATATTATTAGGAATATTTTGCCCACAAAATTGAGGTAGCAAAGTGAGAAACTGGCGACTGGAAACGGTTAACTTTTCCTACGTCCTGTAGAGAGGCTGACTTGTCAGCATTAAGGTCACTCTAAGTACAGTGAGCACAGCTATAACGGGAGGGGCCCTCAAAAAGTTCATGGAAAGATTTGTATTATCTTTTTCCTTTTTTTTGGCAGCTGGCCAGTATGGGGATCTGAACCCTTGACCTTGGTGCTGTCAGTCCCATGCTCTGCCAAGTGAGCTAACCAGCCAGCCCTGTATTATCTTTCAATTCCATTTTTCCATGAACTTTTTGAAGTACTCTTGTATAAGATAATAATTTTATCTCTTTGTCAACAAAACAAAACCAAACCAGCCCTACTCGAGCAGAGAAGATGATCTTTGCAGTTTGTTGAAACCCACAGAGGAATCAGAAGTCTTCATTGTGAAAATAGTTCTTACCTCCCAAATGCATTTAAAAGAGCAACTATTTCCTGTCGAGTGAGCTGGAAGCCTTTAGATGGACTGTTCTCTGGAAGCTTTTGGATTTCTTTTTCAGAGAATAATATCTTCAGGGCAGTTCCTAAACCCTGAGTCTAAAGAAAATACCAATAAACTTACACTTAGCTTTATATAATAATTACTACAACAAAGGTTTAAAGGAATACTCAGCCACTGCAGACAGTCAGCAAATTTGTATGAACTAAGCTTTTCTCCAAAATGTTAAAATATACCAAGTACAGTTTCTGCTTCCTCACAGGTTATGCATATGATAAACTAACACTGAATAGTCTAACACTTGTTGGACACATATCATATTATCCTGAATTACTGAAATGCCTTTTTTAACCTTGAAAATACCACATTAGGATTACAATGTTTGACCTGTAACCTTGAATACTTTTTTAATCACCCCTAGCAATTTAAAACTCAGTGATACCTAAACTTAATAATTTCTCAATTATTAGCACTAGAGGAAAAGAAATTTTTTATTTCAGTGTAGCCTCCATTAAAATAATTCTCTCTTGATTTTCTTTAACTTATCATATTTGTAAGAAAATAAGAGGTAAAATATCAAACAATCCTTTTTGCTCTGAATATACAGGGTAATGCCCTGAAGAGCTTTCCTTTTTTGTAACCAGGTGGTGGCCTTCTCTTGATCACTGAAACAAATTCAATGACAACAATTTGATATTTATATAATTATATTTTATCTATTTTATATGTATATAAAATACTAACATACATTATTCATAACCATCAACTTCAGAAGTGAATCTGAGATTGTACCAATAGAAAAATAGATACGATATACTAAAATCATTAATGTAGAATAATAAGAAAAACATCCTTACACATATACAATTACAACAGAGTTTATAAAAATGATATTAATTTTTTTCATCAATAAAACAGAAAAACCACACTTTGGATCTGCCTATTTCTAAACTCTAATTCAATAAGCAATAGGGATGTTTTAATAAAATTCTGAACTAAGTGGAAAAACTTAAGGCTAGTAATAGTTTCAAAAGAGGAAAAAACACACGTACCTGTAATTTCCCCCACAATCTGCATTTGTCGCATCCAACACAGTCCATTATGCGGGAGATATTCTTGAAATGTAACCGGAATTCCTCCTAGCACACAGAAAATATTTTGTCTTAGACTTTCAAAATTAAACTGCATTTGGCTGAACTATAAGAAATAAAAGTTTTGAAGTTTATTAATAAATGAGTTGTGCTTTTCAACAGTGAAGAAAAATATTTGAATTTGCATAGCATAATACGGCATACGAAACAACTGACATGAATGGAAATCTGCAGGACTCATTCTGCATATTAATTCAACAAGCTTTTTTTTTGGCAGCTGGCCAGTACCGGGAACCAAACCCTTGACCTTGATGTTATAAGGCCGCACTCTAACCAGCGGAGCTAACCGGCCAGCTCAAGAAACTTTTTATTGAGGGGCTACTTTATGCAAATCACCAAAATATTCACTGTGGGGGCCACAAAAGTAAATAATACATGGTCTTTACTTTTAAGCAACCTAACCGCTGCTTCTATTTGATATTTACATATGACCAATGGTAAGTATATCTATTTATGTGTCATTTATTTTTGAGGTTTCGCTTTGTGTGAGCCTCAATCAGAAAGCTAGTCCTAGAACAATGATGGGTTTTGTGTCCTTCCTCAGTAGCATGCTGCGTCCGTCACGGGTGCCCTACCACAGCATCCCCGTGTTTGCTAGTGCACATTCCACACAGATGCCTGCTGGGTCCCTGTATTCTGCTGTAATAGTTTCCTACGCAGGCGAAACTTCCGCCTGTAAGCCGCTGTGCATGGTTTCTATGTCGCTAAGGCTAGTCTTGCCTGACCTGATGATGACATTGGCTAAGACAGAGTCTCCTCATCTGTTGCACTTGGAAAACAAAAATTATTTTATTGCACTGAGGTAAGTATTTTATTGCAGCAAATTGGAGACGAGTGGTCTGAAAACTCTGGCCACCACAACCCCTGCCCGGCTGCTCAAAGATTTCTGAGGAAATCAATACACTGGCCAAGAGAAAGAAAAATCCTTTGCTTTCCTTTCACATGTAATGTGCGTTCTTTGGAGCAGATGGAAAAATGAACTTAGGTTCTCCTTTACACACCCTTGAAAAACAGCAAACAAAACTCCCAGCACCGTGTAGCCGAAAGCTAGTTGTGAGACTGTAGGCCGTGCTTGGTCTCACTCTGCTAATCTACAAAGACATGCATAATTATAGTTGCCCTGTCCGCTACACAAGGGCACTCCGAACAGACCAGAAGTATAATATCTGTGTAAGTACTTAGAAAATAAGAAGCATTATAAAAATGAATGAACATTGTATTAAATACCACAATAGCAACATACCTTTAAAACAAATGTAAAACAAAACAACCCTCCAACACGAAAATACAGTTGTGGCTGTATTCAGATATTCAGAAATATCAAAAAACTCTCACCAATGGAGAATCACTCGGTATTAATGTATTAGTTCTTGCAGTATATACACATCTAAAACACCTTTGGGCCAAAAGTGTTTCAGAATTCAGAATGTGTCAAATTTTAGAAATATAGTACATACACTATATATTATGAAACACTTTGAATATTCACACGAAGCACAATTCTAGAAAGGCACCATAAATATCCTTACATCAGTTCAGCTCAGGTTTTGCTAAAAAATTACCTTGTGCCATACATGAGAAAATGTTTCAGTTTTTGGAGCTTTTTGGATTTCAGAATTGCATCTGAAAGACTGAGGAATTATGCTGGAAAAATACTTGCCCGTCAACCTGAAATACTTTCACAAACATTTTAAGGGTATGACTTGTTCATCAATGTACTGTAAGCAAATGAAAATAAGGAACTCCTAAAATGAAGTTCGATAATGTCCGTAAGACATATTATCCTTCTGATACCATAGGTTAACAGTCCAAAAGGACAAAAACATAATAGTTTCAAAAACCACAACATTCCATAAAATCAGCCTTAGAAAAATATGTGACTTATTGCCCTCAAAGTGACTACCTGAAAGATACATCAAAACAGCAATACACTGACTTTACGAACTTTCTCTCAAAATAATACCTTTTACAAAGGCATTTATAAAGGTAAACTACTTATTAGACACAGTCATAACAGGTTTCATGAAGCAGTTGGTCAAACTAGAAAAGAGAAAGGAATTAAGGACGAATGGAGAAGCTTTCTGTACCACTGATAGTCAAATCCGATCACACTGACTTCAACAAGTTGGAGAAATGAGAAAAAAGCGTGTAGATGAACAGGATTAAAATAACCAGTAAACTGCTCCCAACCCGGTCCCCCCAATCAGGAACTTTTTACCTTCAATGATTTGGCCCCCTTCTTGTCACCTGCAAACATGGATTTCTCATCAAAATGCATGGGAAAGGACCTGATAAAATGACAGTATTACAATAAATCACAGATGAAAAATCTAAGTACTTTGTATTAGAACTCTGGTAGAATTTTCTATCCCTACAAATATTTAAAATTCATTATTTGCTCGTGTAAGGTTTAGTAACGTAGGATGGTGATGAACAATTCACATATAAACTAATAAAAGAGTGAAGCAATATAATATAAATTATATAAAACATTACAGTCTTATAAAAGATTGTAATGTTTTAAAGAAATTACCTGATAAGATAATCTAAAAAAGTAACCGAAAACAATCTGTGAAAAATATGCAACATTCTCTTAACATTCTTTTAAAACGTAATACATAGTTTAAACATTTCTTAATCTCACTTTTCCTCCATGCTCATTTTAACAACCATAAAACTCAAGTTTTATAGACCAAGCATTTTAAAAAAGGTTATGTCCTAGAAGGGAAGACTAATGTCCACTTTATGCTAACACACTACACCATCTATATTTAAACAATAAGTGGAAGAATATAAAACTGCATAAAAAATATTAATGTAGCATTAAATTTTTTTTTTTTTTTGTCTTTTTTCGTGACCGGCAACGGATCGCAACCCTCAGTGTCGCGCCCGTACCAGACCAGGACCGGCAACGGGATCACAACCCTCGGTGTTGCCCCCGCGCCTCGCTCAGCCAGTGAGGGGCCGGTCTGCATGTGGGATCCGAACCCTCGTCGGGAGCGCCGCCGCGCTTCCCAAGCGGCGCACTGTAGCAGTGCACCACCGGGCGGGCCCTAAATTTTGATACTACCTAAAATTTAGTTATAAATTAAAAGACAGTCTACTCTCAAGGGCGAAAGTTTCTGCATCAACGCTTTATAGGTAGTTTTCAGTCACCATTTTTGGAAATATTTTTAAATGCTGCTGTTCTATCGACCACGTTCCTTCCTGGTTCTAATTCCCCCCTCTCAAACTTTGAGGAGTCAGGCTCTGCTGTATTTCAAGGGCTTCCTCACTTGAATACAGAGTGGAGAATTTCAGGTCACTGACGGTCAATTCTTACTTTGTATCTTGAAAGATACTCAGTAGCAGGGTTTTTGTGTCAGCATCTTCCTCTGCGTTTCCTGTGTAAAGATCAACGATTGAGCGCTCAAAATATGGGGCCACCTTTGACAAAGCTCGAAGCTCCAGCAGGTATAAAAAGTACAGATTCTTTAGTCTTCTTGGACCTTCTCCCTTAGTTTCCACAGGGTCAAAGCGGCGTTTAAATTCTTTGATATTAGGTCCCCAGCTGGGTTTGCCCCAGGTTTCTAAAGAGAACAGACATATATTACACTGTTTTAGTAAATGGATTTTTTTTTTTGCTCTAGAGAATATGTATTTCCTCCCCCACCCCCAATAATTTTTATACTAATAGAAGGCAAAATCTCAACTCAAAAATCTGATTACCTTCCAAGAGATAATTTGCGCATAGATGCAAATTGATACTAGCGTGAAGTCCCGATATAAGTTTATAGAAGACTCTTTTCTCCAGACACAAACCTATTCAGAAAGATATTGAAAAAGAAATCACACCCATTTAGGTAACAGAAATATTGAATCAAGGAGATTCAGTACACAGGCTTATTTTTAACGTTAAGATTCAAAGACATTAGAAATAAATCAAGGAATAATATAAAAATAATTAGATCAAGATTCTCTCACTAGAAGACAAAATAAGATTCTGCCTTCAGAATGGAGTTAACTAAATAAGATGAAAACTTAATGCAGTACAAGGAAGAAAAGTCTGGGCTACTGGAGGTCCAAACACTCTGGACGTGGCTGGCAAGGTCCCGTATTACCCACAAGGCAACAGCACAGGTCTTTTGTGGGTTAGGCTAGGAACTTACTAAAGCAAATGTAAATATAAAGTCACTAAAGCAAATGTAATTATAAAGTCACTGCTGTGACTCAACAATACCTGTTTCTCCTTTTCCCTATATGTGTTCTTTCTTTGAACCTATTTAACAGTGGAGAAAGCAGTGTCTTGTTAACTTTCTGCCCCTGGAATTCTCTTAAGTCTATTTAACTATGCATTCCACTCGTGTGGAGCTAAAACCTGGAAAACAGACATACAGGAATTCCCACTAATAAAACAAATGTATGTTGACTATTTAGCTCTGGAACATGATGGAAAATTATTTTATATAGCCTTCTCAGACTTTTGCTCAGAAATGAAGACAGTATAATCCTACCTTGCTACCCTTTTAAATTAAAAGACACCTGCCTCTGTTTAAAAAGGTTTTCTTTTACAAGAAGAGTAATACACATTGTGAATGTACCTGAAACAGTAAACTGAATTAGTAACAAAATAGCCACGAAATAGCAAACTTAAAAATGGTTAAGATGGTAAATTTTGTTACATACATTTTACCACAATTAAAAAAATTTTTTTTTAAAGTATTCTTTATAGAAAATTTTAAAAATGAAAATGCAGAGAAGTGAGTTTTAAGAATCTGCTGGATGCTTGGCAATTAGCTTTCCAACTCCTTCACCACCCGATGGGTATTTTGTTTGTTTTTAACGCTCTTCCCACAAGAAAAAATGGTCTTCAATGGTGGAAAGTAAGGTACAGTCTCATTTGTATGCTGAGGGGTTTGTTTTAATGTAAAAGTATTTATGTGGCTTTGTGTCTTTTCAAGACCTTTGAAGTCATCAGTTTGCTCTCTCTTTATGTCCTACACAGATGGCTCCGAAGCATGTAGCCTCTCGTAGGAAAGATTAATTCTTTTGAGATCTCATTCCCTAACTTGGAATTCTTGCTAGAATATTCAAAATGTCACGGATGACGACCAGAAGGTAGAAATTAAATTCTATTTTGTAGCTTTCTTCCTAAAAGTATATGGCCAATTTTGAATGTTAATGGTAATGAAGGATTCAAACAGTATGAACAGATTTTAATAAAACATTAAGTCCTAACTTCTCTAGTAAGACTGTTAACCAAATCTGTTATCAAGAAGCAAAATGATCAGATTTGAAGTTCACTTTTTTTTTTTTGTCTTTTTTTCCGTGTCCGGCAACGGATCGCAACCCTCAGTGTTGCCCCCGTACCGGACCGGGACCGGCAACGGGATCGCAAGCCTCGGTGTTGCTCCCGCGCCTCGCTCAGCCAGTGAGCGGGAGCCGGTCTGTATGTGGGATCCGAACCCTCGGATGGGAGCGCCACCGCGCTTCCCAAGCGGTGCACTAGCGCAGTGCGCCACCGGGCCGGCCTGAAGTTCACTTTCTTTTCCTTCCAACCTACGTCTCTAAGCAGTGCTTACTACATCCCGGCACGTGGCAAACGCTGACCTACAGAGGCACGACCCACCGATTTCTATTTCCAGCAACACACAGCAAATTCAACCACCCGATTTAGAAAGGTCCTCTTCCTCGAAAATTTTTAACGTCATTTGAATTTATCTTAAGCAACTGAATTATGGGATACTGATATATATGTATATCATATCAACTGAATTATGGGACACAGATATATAGATATAGATATACATGAGGGGTATTCAAAAAGTTCATGGAAAGATTCGTATTATCTTTTAATTTTATTTTTTCGCGAACTTTTTGAAGTACCCGCATATAATTTTTCTCTCTCACAAAAGGGCTAGATTTACTGTACCAGTATTGTTTGGCATTTGGACATTGCTCAGTAGTTTCCAAAGGAATTTTCACAGGCATCACCTACACACACAGCGTCTGTCAGGAGGACTGTGACTGCCACCGTCTACGCTCCAGATGAGGAAACCAAACCTCAGAAAAGGTGGGGTCAGCTGCCCGTACTGAGTGCTCTCTGGAACCGTGTCTGCATATCCAGGGACTCGCACCAGCGGGACAGCAGAGGAGTGGCTGATATAGTGGACCCAGAACCCAGTACTGACCCTCGACTCCATTCTTACCTTGGTTATCAACACTCAGAGTCTCTGATTACCTCTTTTAGCCTAAATGCTACTTTCCACAATTTGTATGTATCTTTAGAGTAGAGCTTAATAAGTAAACACAGCTAAGCGTCTTTTTCAACACAGGCCATTTTTCAATGTAACTCCGAACAGTATTTGCACATCCTAACATTCACTTTAATAATGGCCAAAACAAAGAGAAATCATGTTCTTAAGATAATATGACTGATTTACAAGCATAGAATAGAATTAACTATTTAGTTGAACTCTGTAGAGTTCCTTTAAGGTTATGGCCATGAAATGTCAATGTTCCTGTATCACTCCACTTGCTTATCTTTCACTAATATATTTTAATATAATTAAACTTTTAATTTAATAAACTAACAGCAATTGGGTAAAATTTTTAAAGCATCATATATCCAGTTATTACTACGTTGTTAAAATCCTAGAACATTTCAGCTTTCCATTCATAACATTTTATATTTTCATCACTGGAAATATAAGAATCGGACATATCTCACACTTGGGATATGTATTGCTTTATCTTTTAATTAGACAAATTTAGATGACATTAACATGGGCAAACATGTTTAGAACTTTCTAAATTCAAATTTATCTTCCTTCAATTTTATATATAAAAAGTACTTCCTTCCAAAAGGAAAGCCTCTACTTTTAAAGTAGATTTGCATACTGGTTACTAGAAAAGTAGCATGGATGAGCATTACATAGAGAATGGGAATAAGACCGGGAACCAGTTATAAAAACCTCAGGACAGTATCTGGCCTGTATATTTACATAGCAATGATTTTCAGCTGACCAATATATCCTCAACATTTTCACATAATTTTATCCCAAGATACAGCAACCTAAAGTGCATGTTATTTTCTTTCAAACATTGTCAGAATTAATTGTGCACATAATAAAATCCGAGAACTTATAAAAATAGGCAAAATAAACCAGTACTTTTTACAAAAAGCCAATAAATTTAAAACGCACATATCATTTACCTTCTAGCCATGTGTAGAATGATTCTCCTGAGAAAGAGAGAAAGCATTGGTTACAATATTTTAAATGGTCATTTATAAACCAGAATTAGGTATATAAAATATTTATTATGACAGATTAAGGAATAGCTCTAGAAATGTCCAGTGCTTTGGGTGAAGTGGGAAAATAGGCATATGGTTCTAGAAAATAAAGCCCACAAGTAATGGAAGGAACTTTGGGAGAATGTTCTTACAGATCCTATTTTGACTATTAAAATTTTTGAGAAAACATTACAGTCAAAATATTATGTAAATTAGGCCGGCCCCGTGGCTCACTCGGGAGAGTGCGGTGCTAGTAGTGTCGAGGCCGTGGGTTCGGATCCTATATAGGGATGGCCGGTACGATCCCTTTACCAGTTTAAAAAAAAAAAAATTATGTAAATCTTATCCATTGAAGGGTGAATATCCAAAGCATGGGGGCAAACAGTTTCACAATCTTAAATTTGCTTTTGATGATAACCACCACAGTACTTTTTTAAAATTCCAGAAAAAACAAAGCATAAGAAGCCATACAAGCCTTTTTCATGATCCAGTGCCCTTCTCCAGGCACTTCCAGAATGAACTTGGAGAACATTTGCCACGTTGTGATAAAGTAGCATCTAAATGCAGCCTGTGCATTCAACCCTCCCAAGTCTATGTGGTTCTCAGAAAGGCCTTAAGGATACAAATCTAGACCAGGAAATTCAGATTCTTAAGTCAATCCTGGTCTAAAGAAAACGCTGGAATGGCAGGTGAATTACAGGGTTGCTCCCAGGGTTTGGTTCCTCGTTGGGAACGGAATGAGGATGTGCCCAACTGACTACAGCAACGCTGTCCCTTTGAAACATAACACCAGCCACAAATGTAATTAAAATGTTTGTAACAGCCACATTTTAAAAAGTCGAAAATATACATGCACCACAGTACAACAGTATGTTACGGGGCGCAAGGGTGAAACTGGTCCTACTTAAACAATAAAGCTCTGTCTAATGGCAATACTATGTCACACTGCTTCAGTTTTCAAATTTCTTTTTATTTCTTTTTTTTCCTTTTTTTTTGGTGGCTGGTCAGCATGGGGATCTGAACCCGTGAACCCAGGTGTTATGAGGCTGCGCTCTTACCAACTGAGCTAACTGGCCAGCCCTGGTTTTTAAATTTAAATGAACTGAAATAAAAGCTGAAATCCAGTTTCACACCAGTCATCCTCACATGCTCAGCAGCTGGCTAGTTTACTGGACAGTGCAGGTCTAGGGCTCCTGAAGGCACCCCGAGCTTCTGAAACTCCTCTACATCCTTCCTACTCGAAGTGGAGAACACCTGTCAGCACCCCGGGTAGCACCCAGGAGCTAGTTAGAATCTAGGGCCTCCCTCAAGACCTACAGAACCAGATGCACCCAGAAGCCTGAGAAGGCAGTGCTCGGAGCCACCTGGCTGCATGCTGGAACTGTGCAGAGAGTTCAAAAAATACCGATGCCTGGGTCCTCATCCCAAGGATTCCGACTTAATGAGTATGGGGTAGGACCAGGAAATCTCTGATATAAATGGATTACTCACATATTCTAATGTACTTTACATAAAGCTCCTAGTTTAGGGTCTGGCACATACGGGTACTTGATAAATGGCCGTAATTATAAAACACATGTGCAGACATTTTGAGATTTAACTATGAACTGATATTTTTGTTACTCATTCAAATTAAGCAAAATATAAAACAGTGGAAAATATTTTCAATAGAAAGCTTAGTTACAAAGACATTTTTAAACGATCACTAAAAACATTAAAAACCCACCTCGGCCAGGTGCCAGGGGATTTAAAGGTCGATAAACAGACCGAGGCCTGAAAAAGAAAGCACGAATCCTAAACACAGAATAATTTTTGACTTTTGCATGTAATTTTTTCCCACCAGAAACCGATTCCCCGCCCCCTGCCATTGGTCTGTCCCCTCCGATTACTTGAAGCAGTTCTCTTCGTAGATGCTGTTCCACACTCTCCAGGCTGAGGTTCCCTTGTAGCCGGTGTAGCGCTCGGGATTCAGCAAGAGGTCTACGTACTGAGCAGCTGGAGATCTCTCATCTGAACAAGAAGCAATTCAGGAAAACTGCTGGTGTTTTACCATCTCTCTCATGTGTAACATTACAAAGCAAACCTGACGTTAGAGAAACACTCCTCAAGCAATCTCCAGCTCAAATGGTAGAGTGCCTAGCACACTTGTGACTGTACTTGATGCAGGATTTGTAATAACTTGGACAAGTTACTTCAGAGAGAGGAAAAAACAACTACTCCCCTTCCTTTGGATACTACTCATTGCTCCTTTATTAGAGGCATTCATCTTTTCTTAAGTTTTAAACAGCCAGGATTGAAAAGAGCTAACAGAATCATAACCTGCTTTAATATTCTGTGTGATTTCTTCTCTAAGTATACACCTACCAAAGTACATACTTGGAAATATTTAGTTAACATATATTGTATTAAAAATAGAGATTTCGGGGCCGGCCCGGTGGCGCACTGGATAGTGCGCCGCTTGGGAAGCGCGGCAGCGCTCCCACCCCAGGGGT